TATTGAAGTAGTTATTTTCCAACACCAGAGTTGTCATGTCTATGATCCATTGGTTACAGTTTTCAAAGTTTCTGAGATTCTGTTATGTTTTATCGACGGATACATGTTGCGTACATCAAGAGAGGCTCGTCTGTAGCTTGATTTAAACGTTACAGTATTCAATTTTTGTATGAAGTTATCGGTACTCTTTATACTATAGTGGTACTTCTTTAAAACGTTTAATTTCCCTTTTAAAAATAATTCAAGGCTGTAAAATATATAGCCTTTTATGTCTACTAAGGGTCTATTTGAACGTTAGATAGGTTGACGATTATGTTATTTAACTAGTTTTCCCTTTCCTGGATGGTTGGGTAATTTAATTTTTTAACAAGTTTTTGGTATTTTTTATAGTAATAAGTTTGGTTATTATGATTGGTGGTTTCATTGTAGTTAGTACGGTGGGTATTTCTTAAATTTTTGATTATTTTGGTTAGTTTTTTAACATTATATTTTTTGTGACGTATAACAGACTTTAATAATATTTTTTCTACGATTACAACATCGTTTTTCTGTATGTCTCTAACTACACTATATAATAAGTCTAGCAAAAAAGAAAGGCCACCTTAGCGCTCGTATAATTGAATATATATTTTTTCTTTTATAATTTGTTATTATGAAACATTTTGCTCATTTATGGTACTTTAAGTATACTAGTATGTATCTCGATTATATAATCAAAGTTTGATCTTAAAAAAATTGATCTAAATACCATTTTTAAAGCATTCTAATTATTAATTCTAATTCTAATATTCTAATTAACAAAAAAAAAACTGTATATATTCAATAAACTACTTTTAGGGCTCATTTTTATAAACTGTATCCACATAAAGCAAACATCTCTTTTTCTTGTACAGTATATACAGTCGACCCCCCTATAACACTGTTGATAATTCCGTTTTATATGAATTCCATGTTGTACGAGTCACTTAGATTTTACAAATACGTGAGCCGTTCACAGCCCGGCACACGTATTTGTAAAATCTAAGTGACTCGTACAACATGGAATTCAT